CCTCGCGGCCTTTGTCGGAACAGATAGCGGCGGCGGTGGCGGCGGCGCCCACGACGTCGGCATCGGCGTTGATATCTCCCGAGTTCGCGTCGGACGACGTGGACATGCTCGCGGAGATGGGGTTCGACAGGGCGCGGGTGGTGCTCGCGCTGAAGGCCTGCAGCGGCAGCGTCGAGCGCGCGGCCGAGTGGCTTCTGACCTGGGACGGTGACGATGACGATGGCGGTGGTGGTGTTCCCGGGAGCGGCGGGATGGTGCACGGGCCGCACTTGCCCGGCGGCGGCGCCCTTGCGGGAGGGCAAGACGGCGACGGAGGAGGGATGGGGTGGCTGGGCGGCGGCACCGAGCTGAGCAAGATTGTTAGGGAGGGTGGGGGCGGGGGCGGGGGTGACGCCTGGGGGCGGAGCGGTGGCGGCGGCGGCGGCGGCGGCGGCGGGGGAAACGATGGCGACGATGATGATCTTATCACTACGGCCGACGCGTCCGATGTGGGGCAAGGGCTCGACATGCGGGACTTCTGGAGCAACGATAATGCCAGCGGTGCCAAGAATGGTCTAGGCGGCGGCGGCGGGGCGTGGGGGGCTGCGGCTGCTGCTGCTGCTACTGCTGCTGCTGCGGAGGGGGGGGGAGACGGCGGAGTGCTGTCTGGGGAAGTCGGTGGGGGGGGCTCCGGTGCGAGAAAGCCCGCCGTGGATGATGATGACGACCTCGTGACAAGGTGAAAGCAGCGATCACCGCGCTTATTCGGTAGAACTCTTGTGTGCATGTGTTTGGGTTCCTGTTTTTTTAAGCGTGTCTGCGTGCTTCCCTTCATCTGCTTGACAGACGTCGTGGTCGGCGGGTAAATGTAGCAGGTTCCCGACCTTCCACGTCTGATGTTTTGCGGCGTCGTTAGATGCTGTGTCGTGCTTGTGTTGTCGCTGTTTCCCCCCTCCCGTCAACTCCACCGTCCACAGAGCGATGATGACAACGCGATGGAATCGGCGTACAGACCCGCTTCTTTTTTTCGGACGAGAACCCACTCCCCTTCGGCTTCGTCTTGACCCCGTGCTCCTGCCCTATTCCATTGATCACCGCGCATCCCCCACATTTACGCCGTATCTACGCCGCGCTTGTGTTGTTTCCGGTCTCCCTATTCTCACGGCACCTAAAACCAGCTACGAAGATACAGCTGGGGGAGTGCTGGCCGACGTCGTCATCCTGTTTCGATCCGCCACGTCCGCCTCCGCGCCCGGAGCGAAGCTTCCAGAGGCGGCCGCGGGCGCAGCCCGCGAGGAGGAAGCTGTTGGTGGAAAGAAGGAGGAGGAGGAGGAGGAGGGGGGGGAGGGGGAAGGGGAAGGAGTCTTGACAGTGGTGGTGAGACCGTTGCCAGGGACTGCTCCTGCGTCCCTAGACAGCGGCTCTTCCCGTGGAGGTGTGTGAGAGCGTGCGAGAGAGTCGAGAGAGAGAGAGAGAGAGAGAGAGAGACAGAGAGAGAAGAGATGTACAGCAGTAGAATCGTGAAGTCGAGGAGTGATTGCGCATCCCCTTTGGTGAGTGTGTGTGATCATAGCCGTAAATGCCGTAGTCGTTAGACCATTGACGTCGCATCCCTTCAGGTATGGGGGAGGGGCATGCTGATTCTTTGTATCACTTCGTTGCTGGACCATTGACCACGCGTCTTGGAGAGGAGGACGGAGCATTCTTCCCACAGGAACCCATTACCGGAGCCCGATTCCTCCCTACTTTGCCCAAGGTGGCTCAACAAAGTGTGTGTGTGGGGGGTGAGTTTCGAAGCTCGAAGGCTGGTTCACGGCCGAGAGGGCGCGAAGACCGCCCGGACCGATCCCTTCACGACGGCATATACCGTAACGACGTAAGATATCACACCCCCTGTGCCGATTTTGGAAGTTCGAACAACTCCACGACAAACGAAGGTGATGGATGCCACTCAGTCAAACGAATGGTGCGTTTTCGGAAAGCCCTCGACGAGACGGTTCCAACGTCGTCATTTGCGCCACCGCCTCCGTTGTCTCTGCTGTGGAGTCATCGAGCTTTAAAAATGGGCCAAGGGGGTGTAATATCTCGTGTCCCCTCGGCGGTAGTAGATCATTCCCAAGATCGCTCGTTTTTGTTCGGCAAAAGTGGCATCCTATTGATTTTTGCGGAGCAATCGAGCGAGGGTCATGATGAGGAAGGTGTGTGTGTGTGCGACTACTATCTTTTTTTTTTTCGGTGCTTCTGATATTTGCGGCACCGCATCGACCGCTTCATCCACCGAGTGTCGCGTTCGCCCGTGTGCTCTCTCTCTACCACGGCCGTTCTCGCCCCCTGCCCCGCTGGCGTTTGGTTGATTCTCCCCCCCCTCCAAACAAAAGCGGCGGAATACGACCGACCAGACCTTTGCCAAGAAACCGAGCACGTGGTCTCGTTCCCCTGGCCGGAGGCCGAGGCCCTCGCTCGCGCGCGGCAGGAGACCGCCGAGGCGCTCCGCGCCGCGTCGTGGACGGCGGCGGGGGCGGCAGGGGCGGCGGTAGGGATCGAGGGCGGCGACGGCGACCTCAGGAGCATTGGCGGCGGCAGCGTCGGAAGCGGCGGCGGCGGCGGCCAAGAAGAGGGACTCTCGGCGGCTGCTGCTTCTGCTGCTGCTGCGCCTCCGAGCGACAGCCACTTCCAAGCGCCCGCCGCCGCCGTCGCCGCCCCGCCGTCGCTGTCGTCGCAGTCCTACGGCGGTGGCGATGCTGGAAGCCCCCCCTCCTGGGGCGAGAAGGTGACCGAAACCTAGCACATGAGTAGGGAAAGCAGTCGTTGTCTAGTGTTTGTTGAGTATCGCGAACGTCGCGTCGAAGTCGGTGCTACACACGGGCGTGCGTTGGCACAAAAGAAAACCGGATTGGTAAATGGATTTCTGCACAGAGGTCGGAGCGATTGCACAGGTTCAAGGTTTAGTTTGCCCAGGGATCTGAACACGAAAAAACGATTGGAAATGAAATGACTGATATAAAGTCGGTCGATCACGCACATGTGTGTGCACCCGCTGCGCCTTTTGCCGCACAGTACTCACGCACGTTGAAACGTTTTCAGCACGCAGAAGTGCGTGTCATTTTGGTCTTGGTATTTCGCGACATGACGCCGCCCAGGTTATTGGCGTCTCGTGCCATTGTTGGTTCATTTACGCCTTTAATCCCCACGTACGCCATGTACCAACGCCACTTTCCCACAGAAGAAGGTTGGTGGGGTGATCGTCGGCATGTTGGAGCGCCGGGTCGACGGCGGATACCAGATCTTCTCTCCAGAGGTGGGTACCCTACCTTTGTTCCCAACGGCGTACCCCTTCCCCCCCTAGTGTGTGTTTTAGGGGGAAATTCCAGTGAAGTTATTGTGGCACGCGACACCGAGTCTGATGCGCACACGTTCTTTTGCGCACACTCATTTTGCAAGCAACCGTTTCATTCCCAACGAGATGGACGCACCCAGTCAACACGCTCGACGCACATGTCTTTTGGTTGTATTTTTCCCCGTCTCTGGTCAGATTGAGCGAGATTCTCCCATCGCCGCCCAGCGTGGCGTCGTAGCACGCACATACGAGCGCCCACGCGGCCGCTCTTTGCCCAAGTGGGACCGAAGCGACGACGCTGTGTCCACGAGGCCGCTGCCGCCGCCGCCGCCCCGACCGGCCTCAAAGCTGGGTTTGGTGGGAAGCGGGTTTTCGCACCAGGTACGTCGTGTATTGGCATGAAGTTGTTCGGTCGATGGTATCCCCCCCACCGTCGGAAAACGTTGTTGGTGGCACACAGCCAATCAAGATTTTAATCGTGATGTCGAGGTCATCGGTCAAGAGGGCTTTGGATGATTTTGGTGTCCTCTCTCTTGTCAGTTTGTGTATTCGGCCTTCTCCGGCAATTCCGGACAAAGGATCACGGATAGCTCTGCTGTTGATAGCTTACGGTAGTTCCAGGCTCGGCCTACATACCTTGAACTCCAGAGCAGCACTGTTGAGCGTTTTGGACGTACTACGGCGAAGCGTTGTCCCTGTATTTCGCACGTTGGTTCTCGCCGGCGCTATGAAGCAATGCCGCCCCGACTGTGCCGCCCCCCTACACCCGTCCAACAGCTAAGGCATGCAAGACATGGATGCACCCCCCGCACCAACATGCTTTGATGCCACACGTGCCCATGTGCCTTTTTTCTCATCGCAAAATGTGTTCCCCAACATCCCAAAACTCGTGTGTGGTAAAGCAGCCGTGGAATTGCCCGGCGTGCACGTACCTGAACGAGGACCCCGCGTTTCGCGCCGCCTGCGAGATCTGTAACACCCCCCGCCCGAGCGCCGCCGCCGCCACCGCCGCCGGCGAGCAGCGGCACGATGATTGGGACGACAACATGGTCCTGAAAAGCTGCGGCAGCGGCGGCGGCTCGAGGGGAGGAGGGATACCGGCGATGGCGAGCGCAATGATGTCTTCGTTTACGCCGGCAGCGCCACCGGCGGTGGCGACGGGGGGAGGGCCAACGGCGTTCGCCTCTTCCGTTGCCGCTGGCGCCGGCGCCGTGGCACCACCGCCTCAGATCGAAGCGTGCATCCCCAGCGGTTTTTCTGTCGGCGGCGGCGAAGCGGGCGGCCTTCCAGTAGGCGGGATCGAGGTTGAGGATAACGAGGTAGATGGGATTCTGGGAGGCATTTCTCCAGGGGGCGGAGCTTTCCCGGTCGTTTCTAGCACCGATCAGGCCGAGAGCAGGCATTGCGGTAGTGCGACCGCTGCTTCCGCCGCCGCCCTGGGCGGGAGTTGGGAAGCGGGGGACGAGTGGCAAGGATTCGGGAGCGGGTCGTTCGGGCAGGAGTCCCCCGTCAAATGCTCTCCTCGCCAACCCGCGACGGCGTTTGAGTTTTCGTTTAGAAATTCGGAGGCTGGCGGCGGCGGTGTCGACGATGGTGCTGGTGATGGAAATGATGGCAGAGGAGTTGACAACGTGGAGTTTGGTAGAGAAGGGTGCGCACCGTGAGGCAAGACCCGCCGCGTCTGTTTCCGCCTGTTTTGTGCCTGCCCCAGGTTTGCTGTTTTTCCTGCCGTGCAAAGCTGGTGAGAACTTGGACCAATCTTTCGTCGATGCGCGGGTTTGTTCTCAATATCTCAATGTCTCTTTGTGGATGGTTTCGTGGGAGTAACGAGTCAGTGAGTGCATGCATGTGTTGTAATAGGAGTTTTTCTGTTGAGGTATTTTGATCTTATTGGTGTAGACTTATACATACGTGCAAGGGCCTGTGCGCTCTTTCTTGATTGTGTGTATTTCGACCCTAGAGCGTGGTTTGGTCGGGTACGTGTAGATTACCCTAGAGTTTGGTATTACCAGTAGACCGACCGCTTCTAGAATTTTCGGTACGCTGCTGAGGTCGAAGCCATGTAGATTCTCAAAGAAGTCACAGCATGAGCGATCACACTTTGTTTCGGAGAGGTTGAGGCCTTGCAGGTTCTCAAAGAAGTAAAAGTAGGAGCGGCCACACTTTCATTCGGGGGTTTCTTACCGTTTTTGCCAATCCTCCATGGCGGAAGAAGTCACATCGCCCCCTCCGTCTAAAATATATGCGTCTGAGTTGTCACCACCTCCTTAACAATGTTCAAAGCTTTGATGGTATCGAAGTATCGTCGATGGTTGTCGTCGGGTCTGCTGGGAGCATAGGTTAGGGTGTGCGTCTTCGCGCACAGCAGCAACCGCGCCACACACGCGGCGCTTCCGAACACGGTTTCTTTGCCCTAATCCATCAATCAGTTGGTCTCAATGTGAAGTACCCTCGACCAACCACCAGGAGAATAAGCGGCGGATTCCGGGCAACCAGAAGCTACTGCGTGATAGGCGTGTGCCTTTCTTGTCTCTGCCGACGCTGCCAACCAGCCTGATACTGCATGTTCCGTACGCACAGGCAGCTACCCGGTACACACAAATATTTGTAGGAGTGAATTGAGAATGGTGGGCACGTGGTAGCCGCGCTTTCTCCCCGGGCTATCTCATCCTAAGGTGTCGAAGGCCAAGGGCTACGGTCGAACGAGTGAATTGTTTTGGTGGACGACGCGGTGGTGCGCAGAACAAACAGCACGCCAAGCGTTCAGCAGCGAACGTTCACTCATCCGCCCGCGTGGAAAGCAAGAGATTATTCCCCGAGCAGAACTTCTCCCGCCACCGAGTTACATGCAATGCATGTGAGAACCCTCGGTCGGCCATAGTGTTTTGAATGACGGCATCACATCATTGAGATTTCCCAGCAGCGCCCATCTCGGGCAATTTTTCTAACCGCAAAGAAACAACCGGGAGGCGATCTTCACGTCACGTGTAGCGGGGTCTTCCCAGCAGATTGGCCCCATGATCATGTCGTGCATCTTCCGTGCGTGGCTCCTCCGTATCCTTAAACACCTGAAATGATGCCGACTCCGTGGTCACACATGTCTACGCGGTGAAACCATTGTGTTACCCAGTGGTTTCGTTATGGATACGTGAGACTGGGCAGCACTTTGAACCAAAGGATTCCCATTCCCATCAGGCGACGCACAGAAGCTTATTCTGCCCATGCTGAGGTATGAAGCACGGAACTCGCAGCGAAAAGCGACAGTGGAGGCTGAGGATGCAGAAAAGCACCGGGAAACCAAATCCATGGAATAGTAAAGAAATGAATCCCGGGCTGGCGGGCTGAACAGAAGAACAGGAATTATTTTCTGGCGGAGGACGACCGCACTCGAGGATCCGAAGCAATTCATTTGGTCGAAGTCCGTCTTACTCCAGAATTGTTTTTGTTATAGGAAACAATGCGCCGTCGGTGATCAGACTCGAGACTCTTCTCACCGCTGCAGCATCGCCATCAGCATCGCCATCAGCATCGCCACCAACACAACTTCACAGCTCACAACAAAGCAGGCTCAAGATGGACACGCGTTGGGACAGCAGCCAGAACCATACCAGCGTAGGAATGATCTCGGCACCCCACCCGATGTGCCCAACGCCCCGACAGGAAACGAAAATAGAGCGCCCGGATGACCACGTACCTGGCGGCAGGATTACTACCATCTGGCAGGATTACTGGGTGGGTTGGCGTCATGGAGTGAAATTAAACGGTAAAGGAATGAACGGATTCTGGCCGAGGCGCGCACAAAAAATGAATCTCAAACCCTTGTTGCCCACCGCACTGACTGGATTGGACCGGAATACCGTGGGGAACCACACCGAGAGGCGCAGACAACGCAGAGAGATAGAGCGCGTCCAGCAGAACGGCGAGAATCATGAAAGCCCCGGAATGAACACAACCGCGACTGGGTTGTAACACGAGAGAGCCGCCTGTCTTGGTCATGTCGGCACGAGTCAAAAAGCAACAAATCATGAGTACCGTATCATGAGCGGCGACGAGGATTCACAACCGACTGCAAACGGATGGCTGAAACCTTCCTGGATATGTTCACTCCATCGAGATTCACAACCATCTATCCACGGTACACAATCCCGCGACGCCATTGCGGGACTTCGAATTCGTACTGCCAACGAATGAATCCCCGTTCGAAAGAACAGAAGAATGTCGCCATCGCCACGTGTTGCTGAAAAACCAGATCCGAATCATCGTCTGGGGAACCTCATGTGCGCTGTCTTCACTGCAAACATGATCGAAACCCCAGCACGTAAGGTCAGCTTGATCCGAAAGTGCAACAGAGGAACGAAAACTTGTGAATCTTGAAGCAGAACAGGGAGTGGTGAGCTTCAATTCAGCTTCGAATGACCCCGAACTCAACTCCCTGCGTTTAACAGGGGTCCGCAGCACGCCTCATGCGGCCTCACGTAATCTTGCACGAATCAAACACGTGAAAGCGGAGGGCGACAACTGCGGCAGCACTGTCCCGGCAGCATCATTCGATACGGTGCGCATCTCGCCTCTCGCGTCCAGCTCGCACTCGACGGAGAGAGCGGTTGGTAACTGGACAAAAACAATTAACTCTTTGTCACTCGTATTTTATTTTCGACACCCAAACAAAATCCCTACGACATGGTTTGATGGCTCGCGTCAATGACGTCCCTCGACACAAACGTTCCACAAACCAAGATCAAAGAGATGGCACCAGCAAGCAGCGGCTGTTGCTCTACATACAGCTGTCGTGCACCGCTTCCGTCAAAATGACCCGGAAGCGATGCCAACAACTGGACTGAATTTACAAACATGACACCCAGACACGACCTGGGACCTGCAACGACAAAGCAAACGTAGCCCAGTACCCCAAGATGGCTCAAAAGAGGTATCATGTGCTTTTCCGCCAGGGATCTCACTCAACCATGTTACCCGCGCTGGGCCGGCGTCTCTCTGGTGAACAGCTTTGTTTCTACTGCAGTGACCCCCTCTACCACAAGCCACCACACGCCGGAGCGACGACGACCCTCTTTTCACCACGCCAAGCTTTCATCCAAAACCAGAAACAGGCCTCAAGCGCGGCGTCGAGAAGGGGCGGGTGTGGGCAAGTAAGGAAAGATTCACTGGTGTGGCCAGAGGTGGAAAGTTGGGGGCACAGAATCACAACGTGCAAAGGGTTGTATGGGGAGGTTGGGAAGCCAGGCTCGACTTTCAACAACCTTGACGGTGCCAGACACTGGGAATAACGCCACATTCTTCGAAGTGTACGCGGGATTATTTGCTCGCTTCGGGGTGCAAACCTCCGGATCCCAGCGCTTGCAGCTGGTGCCGCACGATCCACCCACAACCTGGCCTCTGGGCGTCAGTCTTGGTGTGGGGATGGTCCTACTTCAGGTTTAGTCTAGAGATCCTGGGCCATGTGGTAGAACGTAGAACCCCAACATCACACATCTCCATCACGACGCCATGCTGAACTAACCCGCGTCTGGAGTGGTCGCAGAATGCACGACAAACAATCAGGATCACTTGTGTGCTGCTTTGCGATGTGAGTCTCGAGTTTTCACTTCATTCACCCTTGTCTGGCCCTCCGGCGGTCTGCCTCGTACCACTCGTCGACGTCGAGGTCCCTCTGGTAGGAACCCTCGTCCTGGGTGGGGTCCATCCGGCAGCTCTCCAAGATCTCGAGCCTCTGCATGAGGATGCTCGCCAAGTCTTGGTCGTTGTCTTTCAACGCCTGTTGGTTGTGTTTTTCGAGAGAACTTGTAGAATTGGGTTCTACTTCAGGATATTCGAGCATCTAGAATAAGGACAAACAGTGAGCCGTTTGCACAAAAAAGGGAGTTTACTCTCTTACAAACAATTCATTCACCCAAAGGGACGCATGTAAGTCATGTACCCACACCTTTTTTACCAACGAAAACTCTTGTGTGAGGAACGAGCATCACGAACATGTTACTACCCGTTTCTTCCACCTGTCGCTCTACTACAGGCAGGCGCATTGTTCTGTCTCTTCAACCAGCAACTACATGACACCGGGAAAAATTCCTAACGCCAACCCTAACCCTAACCCGAAACCCACCCAAAAGGTGCTAGGCTGGCGCTGGGTGGCTCAGTTCTAGGTTTGCGTGCCGGCATTGGCGCTAGGTTGGTATCGATGGGAAATCTTAGTGCAGGTTGGCATTGCTTGGATAGGTGCTAGACTGGTGTTTTGCGATCGACATGGGTTGGTATGGCTCGGATAGGTGCTAGGTTGGTGTTGACGTGGGTAGGTCCTAGGTTGGTTAGGCTTGGAGCAGGCAGTGGTCGCTCTTGGTTGGGTGGTTCCGTCGGTAATAAAGGTGTGGGTGCATGGCTTACATGCGTCCCTGTGGGTGCACAATTTGCTTTTGCTAAAAAAACATAAAAAAAGTCTTGCCGTGTTGCGCAATAAAAAAAATGGAAAGATGCGAAGATCTGCATCTTGTGCTCCGTGCGCATACATGCAGCGGCGGGGTTCACGGGGCCAGGGAAACATATGCCGACGACTAAATTTTGGAATAAAATACCGCCCCTCAACTTGACCTCGCCGTCGCCCTGAGCTGCTTCCTGCTACCACTCTTCATAATGCATTTGACCACGAACAATACCAAGCCATGAGCGACCCCAGCAACCACAACGACTTCCACGAGTTCGATCATTCAACGCGATGCCGAAACAGGCCCGCTAACATGCCGTCTCCCACCAACAAGAGCATCGACCCCTACGCGTATGGTTCAGAGTTCGATCTGTCTCGGTACGACCCTCCGTGCGAGCGAAAGCCGCCCCCGGTCACCGCAGAACGTACAGCGCGCCTTCTGTGCCGTTCAGGGCCTGCGTCTACTCTACTGCGCATCATCAACATGCATGTGCCGTGGACGGGGTGGGGACAAGAGACGAGATTCTGACAGCGTTTGCTACTCTGTGTGTGCTGTGTCCGCGCTGTAGTCGTCGTTGCATGCATACACCAGCAGAAGTCTATTTTACTTGTAGTCTGTATGGATAGAATCAAAACTAAAAACCACGCGCCCAACGCATCGCAATTTCGAACAGGTCATCGTTTCCCAGCACAGCGGAGCTTTGAGGGGTCGCCAAGCAGCTGCTTGGGTGCAAGGAATTTGCGACCTGCAAGAAGATCAGCCGTTCGTGCGTGCAGGCACGATTCCAGAAACTCCAGAAGAACTTCGAGCAGAAAAAGGAACGAGACGAGTGCGAAAGCGGTGGGAAGGAGGGGGAGGATGACGAGTTGCACTCTTGGAATGTTTGACATCCAGGGTGTTAACACACTGGATGTCGAACATCTCCGCATGCTAACACACTGGATGTCCAACATCGCTGAGTGCAACGCGCCATCCTCCCCCTCCCTCTCACCGCTTTAGCACTCGTCGTTTTCCTGTTGCTGCTCGAAGTTTTTCTGCAATTTCTGGAATCTTGCCTGCACACACGAACGGCTGGGCTTGTCGTACGTTGCGAACTCCTTGCACCCAAGCAGTTCCTTGGCGACTTGGTCCCAAGTCGGGACAGGAGGCAGGACAACGCCGCTAGGCAGAAGATCCTGGACCGTTAGGCAGCCCACCGCGGCAAGGACTGGTGGTTCGACTCTTTTGTTGCTGTACACCTCTGAATCCTTTGCACAAGTGTTGTTTCATCCTTTTCAAAAGTGTTGTTGCATCCTCTTGACAAGTGTTGTTTCGCTGCGGTTTTTCTACAACTGTAGTTTTTCTTTTCAACGGACGTGCCTATTTTCCCCGACTTCGAATGCCTTTGATTGACAACCTATCGTCACGCCAGAGCACTTCCGACTGTCGCTGATCGCTCCTTTATCGCCCCATTGTGTGACATTACGAAGGCAAACTGACGCACTGGCTGCTTTGACTCCCCCCCCCCCCCCCCCNCCCCCCCCCCCCACCATCACACAAGTTGCACAACAATGCTGCGGTCAAGACTGGTTTGGCTTGTACCAATACTCAAACATTTTGGGTCAAGTTACCCTTGAGCATATTCTTTGGATCTTTCACACGTATGACTTTCAGCGTTCCCTGTGCCTGTTGCGCCTTGTTCTCCGAATCCTTGAGAGCGGTTGTCGCCCTCATCTCCTCGACTGCGAGCTTGCGCTTCTTCGTAGCGGAGGAGCGTGACCATTCGCGAGGGTACCCTCCCACGAGACATGGACCAGGTTTGTCTCGCTGGTGCGTAGTAACGAGGATGTTGATGAAAAGGCGGGCTTCGCCGACAATCTCGTCACGGTGCACAAGCAATACAAACCTGGTTCGCGCCTCGTCGGACGGTACCTTCGCGGGAGGACAGGGCCCCACGCTACGGAGGAGCGGAAGCTATTATAGCCGCCGAGGAGATGAAGGGGACGATTGCCTCTCAAGGAGGCGAGTTCGAGGCACAACAGGCACAGGGAACACTCAGCCATGGCTTGAGCACATCGTGGTCGTTTTCTTCCCATGTCGCAGTAGCCGGGGCGGGGGTCGAAAGCCGGCGTTCGTTTCGTGTTCTCAACATGAAGAACATGGGAATGGACTTTCCTCTCTTGTTTTGTACGACTTTTGTTCTTGGGATAAGTGTGGATTCAACACCTTCTCGTCGCTTGCTTTGGACTTAGGAGTAGGGGGGGTCCAAACCCGATTTCAATTTCGCGTGTTGAACATCAACTACACGCGGGTTGGATCTTCCGTGCGGTTGCCTGTCATGAAGACATTGGTCACGTGGGAGTTGGACTGACACATCGCGCTTCGGGAGTCTCAGGTATTGGGGGGTGGTGTTTGGTTTGTTACTGCGTTGGTTGGGAGAGGGCTTTGTCCTCCGGCATGGCTTCCTGGAAAAAGTACCGGTTCATCACAAGGTCACAGAAAATAGCCCCCCCCCCCCATTGAAAAATCGGCGCCTACTCCTCCATAGGCACACCCACCGTGGCAGCCTGGCAGCCTCGCGGAGACCCCCTCCAACCAAACACTATCACAGCAGTGGGGGGCCCTCCTCAGTAGTTGCGGTTGAATAGCACCGGCGCCCGGAATAGTGCCGGCGGGCCCAGACTGAATCACCCTCTGAATAGCGCCGCCCATTGCTGCACCGGGTGTATCACTCAACATGTCATCTTTTCTTCTTGTGGTCAGAGGGTACACAGACACTGAAGGTCGTGAGTGAAACATGTCGCGAGCACCCCCAAGCTTCACCAACGGCGGGATTTCAAAACCTCGAAGATCGGGAAGCTAACCGTGTGGGCACCAACCACAGAACTTTCGAAACGTAAACGCTGTTACCAACACGCCGATCTGTCTACCCAGCAACCCTCCCTTAGGTCGTTCATCACACTTTACACTCACGGCTTGCAGCTGCTCCGCAACGATGTGCCTCTCGCTCTTCCCCGCGCACAGCTCGCCGGCCGTAGCGAAGTCCCCCTCCCGCCACGCCCTCGCCATCAGCACGTCCCGACGGACCTGAGGCCCAGGGGAAGGCAGCCGCAAACATTTAAGAACAGTAGGAGAAGACCAGCAGAAGCGACAATACGGCAGGGGGCACAACACGCAGGATGTTGGTTCGCTTGTTGAGTTAACACGGCAAGCGATAGACGAACGCGCCTTCAAGGTCGGGAAGATGGATGACATCATCTAGAGCGAGAGAACTTCCGAATTAAAGCGTTCCGTCAAGGCCGTGGTAAGCGCTTCGCCCGTGCAACTGCTGCGCATTCCAAAATTGCCCCCGTCGTAGCCCTTGGGCAGTAAAGGGGACGCATGCGCATGCCCTTACGGATTGATCACACACGCCAAGGGATAGATAGAAACCAGATCCAACAGCCTTCGCCCAGGCATGGAAGCACGGGGGATCAAATCTTCTCCAAAATCTATGCATAACAAAGACAATTTCCAACCAAGTCCTCCCCTCGTGTTCCCCGGAAATAACCCATGACCCCGTGTTTGCCCCGTTCCGGCTTCACAGGGATGCCAAGTCGACGGTGTGTCAACTATGGCATGCACAGCTATGCGTACCCCCCCCCCCCCA